GCTAAAATACTTCAGAAAACAGTTTGGCAGCCTTTTAAAAAGTTAAACATTATCTATCAGAGAAGATACCCATTCCATCTGTAAATATCCACACAAAACTTATATATGCATGCTCATAGCAATCTTACTTGTAATTGCAAAAAATAAATAAATAACAAAAATAACCGACCCAAACCCAGCTGGTGTTGCTCAGTGGTTGGCGTTGACCTATGAACCAGGTCACCGTTTGATTCCTGGTCAGGGCACATATCCAGGTTGCTGGCTCGATCCCCAGGGTGAGGCACCCAATTAGTGATTCTCATCATTGATGTTTCTATCTCCCTCTCCCTCTCGCTTCCTCTCTAAAATCAATAAAAATATTTTTTTTAAAATGACCCAAATGTTAGGTTAATGGATCAATAATTCCTGCTTTATATTTGTAATAAAATACCATTCAGCAATAAAAATAACTCAGCAAAATCCATATGTTAACTTCTGTAGGACAACTAATCTAATTTCTTAAAAGAAGAAATTATTTGAGGGAAAGATGGAGAAGGAACCTATTCCTTAAGGGAGACTTAAAGACCTATCAACTAATCACTGTATGGAACTTACTTGCATCTTAATTCAAGCAATTAGATTTCAATAAAAAATGCAAACAAAGCAGTTATTTATGGCAATCATGAGATCATTAAAATCTGAACACTGAATATTTGATGGTATTAATATGATAACAGCATTATTATCAATGTGATAATGCAATTATTGTTATGTAAAAATACATTATGTACAGAAAATATTTACAGAAATGTCTGAGATTCCTTTCAAAATAACACAGGCAGGGAGGTGGGAAGGTGAGGTAGTGATGAAACCAATCTGGCTATGTGCACATGATGGTTAACTATATTACACAGAATATTGGCACATATGCTTAAAATTTTCCAGAATAAAGACTTTTTTTTTTTAAAGTTCTCTATAATCTCATCACCATAAAGCAATCACTGTTAACATTTTGTTTTTCATTGATTTTTTTATTGATTTTTTACAGAGAGGAAGGGAGAGGGACAGAGAGTTAGAAACCTTGATGAGAGAGAAACATCGATCAGCTGCCTCCTGCACACCCGCCCTGGGGATGTGCCCTCAACTGAGGTATGTGCCCTTGACCGGAATCGAACCTGGGACCCCTCAGTCCGTAGGCCGATGCTCTATCCAATGAGCCAAACCAGTTAGGGCCCACTGTTAACATTTTAATGTGCATATTCTTTACCCGGAAGAATGTATTATTTACTATATGGTTCACAATTTATAAAATCAGGATACAATACAAACCACTCTAACTTTTGTTTCACACTCAATAATTTATCTTTCTATGTCAGTAAATACAGATTTACATCGTCATTTTAATCACTAGCTTATATTAGTGTACCAGGATTTTTTAAAAAAATGATTGCCCAACTTTTGGACAGTTAAATAATTTCCTGTTTTTCACCATGATGAATAATGTTCCCCTTTAAACCACTGTTTGCAGTAAGAAGTAATATGTCAGGATTTTTCACAGACTACCCAAAACAGCGCAGCACTTAAGTCCTTTCCAATTAGAAAACATATTAACTCATGTTAAGAAAACAGTTGATTCCTTCCCAATTTATGAGCACTGTAAGTATATAAAAGAGAAATATTTATCTCTTTATTCAAGTCAATATAAATTAATTCTGTTTAAACATTCTTTTTGAAAAGGGCTTTTATTCTCCCTGCTCTTTCTTGGATTTTTATTGCATCTTTTCTCCCAGGCACGTTTGTCTCTGGAAAATTGCTTTGGGGAGAATAGATGTCAGCAATATATCTTTCTATTTTGAACTCAGAGAGAAGCACGTGTAATACAAGTAGAAACAGGGAAAAGGAAAACAAATGAAATGTCTGCTGCCGTATATTTAGGTGCACTTGGTACTGTGTTTTAAATCAACCTGTAATCAGGCTACAACACCCGATTCAGAAGAAATTCGCCTGAAGAAGCAGAGAGGCTGGGAAGGAACCAGCACGCACAGTAAATGCCTGGAGAGAGAGCTTGCTGCAGACTGTGCATTCACAAGCTTCTTTGCAAAGGTGCTTACAATCACAGTGTAATGAAACAGAAACAGTTGTTCATCTGACATGAAAGATGAGGTGATACAGCCTCTACAGGAATTATTTGAAGCCACAATTCCCCAGTGCTTTGAATAAAGCTTGTTTTCTCTTAAATGAATAGACCAGTGCGATCTCAGGAATTCCTTAGTCCAAGACTCCATCCCTTTGAGCCATAAGACCTCATATACCAGAAGGCATTTATACTGGCTGGACTATACAAAAAAAAAAAAAAAACCTTTTAAATTAAGATATCGATCTTTGCTGCTTAGGTTTATTTTACTCTTTGAGGTCCTTATTTCATTTGGGGTTTTAATAATGACTTACATAGACCTCAGAAAGTCTCCTAGCTCACGGAGAAGTGTCCGGCTGCAGGTATACAGAGTGCTGCGCTTCCCTCGCTGAGCACTGCCATCTGCACAGTCTGCCTTGCAGGGGCTAAAGCAGGCGGGAGCTCTAGAAACTACAAGGAGCTGCACAAAGGAAACGGGTGGAAGTCATGGTCATCAGGAGCGACCTGGCTTCGTTAATGAAAAGCATTAATAAAAACAAACTGCATAATAGCTGCACAATTAGCCTAACCTACCGGAAAGGCCAAATGCTGCCACAGAAAAAGAATGAGTTTGACCTCAGGAAATATGAGGTTAATGGAATGAGTTCAAACCAAACCCTGTCAGATGTCACCTAGCGCTATCCAGCTGTGGAGGACAGCTGAGCAGTTTCTTCACCACAGAGCACTGCACCCAAGGCCCATTTTCGGGAAGGAGCAAGAGCCTGGGAATATGAGGTTTCCAACATAAAATGCAGCCCTCCCTAACACTCCAGAGTTCAACCATTCAGGTCAACCATAAAGGAGAACGCGAATCTGTTGAGAGTGTGAAATAACGGCAAGACAATGAATCCCCCTGAAGGACGCAGGAAGGAAAGGTGGTGTAGACCCAGAGAACAAGAAGGACGGGGATGCATTCTTCTGTGTGTTTCTGTATCATGCAAGTAACCCAGACAGGGTTCCTCATCTCCAGCGAATTCTCCATCCAGCCAAAGGAAACAAACAAAATATTCCCTGCTGTGGGTTCTCAGAGTCTGAAGTAATGAACCAAAGCCAGTTAAAAGGGAATCAAATCTGTTCTGGGAAGCCACGGTCCCTCTGACTTTGAGCGCACCGCCAACGATGACCTCAGAGAGATCCAACTATCAGTTTCCCTTCTGGAATTCCCTCCTGGAACCGTCTGGAGCCAAGATATTTGAGAACAACTGCCAACTGCTCAGGAGTTCAACTTTTCCTAAGGTGACCCGGAGGCTTTGAGTACTATAACCTCAACCAACACACCCCTTTCAAGTCCCCAGTTATGCTCAAAGGTATCTCAGGACACAGTTTCCCAAGATTGCTGCCAGCAAGTAGCTCTCTGAGGGGACTGGGCACGAAACATTATCAGAGAAGTTGTAAAGGTGAAAGCCTGGCCCACCAGCTCCTAGGTAGAGGTTACTGATGGAGAAGCAGCATAAAGAAAGGGAAACATTACCCAGAACTGAAGATGAAGAAGGGAGCCTTCACCTTCCATGACTTAGCTGATCAGAAATGAGGAAAATATTTACAAATAGAAGACTCTCCACCCAAGCCCCGATTTCAGGTCACGTGAGAAGGAGAGACTATTTTTGTTGGCGACCAACAAGCAAAAGAAAGCACAAAAGGTTCTTTTGTTTCGCTTGCCTAGTGTCATTCCGTTTAATGGGTGACTTCGGTCTTCTATTCCTCTTCGATATCTATTTTATTTCTCCTCCCCTCCACAGACTGATATATGAGGGAAAGAAAGCAGTTTGCCAGCCAAAAACATGCCTTTTGAGATATCGGTTATTTTAAGCCAAAGATAAATACCATATGATCTCACTAATATTCTTAAGAAAAGCAAGACTAAGGAAAAACCGTTGGCCTTCCTCCTAACTGCCCAAAAGAATTTACACAGAGGGCCTGCTCCGGGAAGGGAGCTATTATTACGGATAACCACAGTGGTTCACTATGAGCTAGTGTGACAGCCAGGGAGGAATGCAGCAAGGCCCATTCTCTGTGTCCCACTGCAAAGACGGCCCAGCAAACATCTGTTTACCGAACATCTGCTCTTCCATCTCCATGTGGATTGCCTTCCTCCCCTTTGAATTCCCAAACTACAACCTGTCTACCCCGCTTCTCCTTAGCTCAAAGTAGCATATAAGCCTCAACTGCCAGTTCTGTCCCGGGATTGGGGGAGGATTCTTATAAAGCCCCCATATGTACATACATAAGAAATTTGGTCATTTTCTCTTGCTAATCAGTCTCATGTCAATTTCATTAGTTCAGCCAGAACTTAAGTTGGTAGAAGGCAAATTAGATTTTCCATTCTCACACATAAAATGCTGTAGAATACATAATTTAAAAAAAAATAATTTTATTGGTTTTCTACAGAGCGGAAGGGAGAGGGATAGAGAGCTAGAAATGATGAGAGAGAAACATCGACCAGCTGCCTTCCGCACACCCCCTACCGGATATGTGCCCGCAACCAATGTACATGCCCTTGACCGGAATCAAACCTGGGACCTTTCAGTCCGCAGACCGACACTATCCACTGAACCGAACCGGTTTCGGCAGAATACATAATTTTTAATTTAATTAAATGTTATTTTGCAACAGAGTTACTTTCTTTTGTTTCATAAAACATAGATTAAAGAACAGAATTTTGGAAATTTGGGTTTCGGAGACACAATATAGGTCAGTATTGACAAGTGCATGCTTGTAGGTTTTCTATCCGCATCATCAAATTCACACAGAGGAAAAGATCTACTTGAGAGCTCTATGATTTCATCCTTTGACTCTCAGAGGCATAAAAGCCAGGAGCTAAGTTAAAGACATGATTTCAGGTACTTACTGATTCCTTGAAAGAGTTCTTCAATATTGATAGCATTTTTTGCACTTGTTTCAACAACGATGGCACCTATGGACTCAGCGTATTCCTTCGCATCCTTCAAGGGAACCTCCCTGGAAAAGAGGTGAAACCCAGACAGAAATGAATGCTCGTCTGTAAAATATAAATAACCCCAATAGGCCAAACAAAAAGCTCATGTGGAAACAGCTCCATTACCTTCCTATAGGATATCAACTCCATGGCTCAGCAAGTATTAAAAACCTGATATGAATGAGATTTTTAAAGTTTAAAACCTGGTCTCTGTCATCTATAGACAAGATGTGCATATATAACATATTGTCCAATCCCATAGAAGTAAAGAATTCCAGAACAGTGGGGGAAATCGTTAATGTAGACATTCCAGCTTTTTGAGGTAGGGTTGATTTCAAACATTTTCCCCCATAATAATGACTCAGTGTTTTGTTTTGTTTTGTTTTGTTTTTAATTTGTGTGCACCCCTGTGTGTGCATGTTTCTATAAGACTACATTAACATTTTTCACAAATCAGACAAAATATGTGGCATGATGTGAAAGTTTGGAAATGAACATGTTATAGCTACAATAGCTAGGATGCAGTATGGCATATTTGAACTCTGACCTTTAAACAGCTGTTCCTGCAAGGGTTTTAGGACATGAACTATATTTAAATGAACAATCTAAAAAAGGCAATTTATTGATCTACTTTTATAGAAAGACATTATGGTGAATCCAAAGATTAAAAAGTCACAGTTCCGATTCTCTAGACGTTTATTTATCCAACAAATATTAATGGAGCAGTTATGGTATGCCACTTCTTGTAGGGGCTAGAGAAAACACCAGTCCTTGCCTTCTGGAATCTACATTTGCGAGCAAAGGCCAACACATTTACAGTCACTCTATTCCACAACATTGTAACATCTGCAATATGAAGATAAGCCGTGGAGGGGTAGAAGGTGATGCATTTTGATCAGTGGAACTGAAGGAGATGAGCTGGAGGAGGTCCCCTGAACCACAGCCATGCAGGGAGGGAGAACACAGGTGAGAACTGTGATGCAACAGTCTGCTAAAGGCCCATGGTGAGGAGCACCCTCAGCCCCAGAGACCATTAAAAGTCCATCTGCACCCAACCCTGCCCTGGTGTAACAGTGGATTTACAAAAAATGGCATGGTGTCTGAGAGAGAGTCCGGCAGGGACTGTGGCAGACGGGCAGGAAAGCACGCAGCGGCCAATGCAGAGCAGGGTCCATTAGGAACCTCCGTATCTAGGAAAACACATGCACAAATGGACTAGAGTGGGGCAGCGAGGAGAAGAATCTGGAAGCTTCTCTAATGCTGTGGGCGAGAGAGAACACAATGCTGGCCTGGGAGGGTGACAGGAGGAAAACAAGGGAGGATGGAAAATCAAAACTGGGAGGGAATGGTGAAGGGACCTTCCCCATCTTCCTCTCTCCTTCCTTTTCCTCCACCCTCTCCGAATTCCTCACGAATGGCTACTACTCGTTTATAAAGCAACTGGAAAAATTCTACCTTGGCATTTTAATTCTTTATGACCCCAAATGGGATGAGAGGAGAACTTGTCAGATACTTACCGGAAAAGGGCCTCACCAGAGCCTACAGTATTAACCGAGATGGCTGTCCTGGGATTCAGGGGAGAGAGGCCTCCTAAGCCAGCCAGCTGGAATCTGTACCTCATAATCCTTCTTACCACAGACAAGCCCCATCACCTCACCCCCTCCAGAATGGCTGTCATCCATAAACCAAAAAACAACGAGTGCTGGTGAGGATGCGGAGAAAAGGGAACACCAGTGCACTGCTGGTGGGAATGCAGACGGGTGCAGCCACTTTGGAAAACAGGATGGAGGTGCCTCAAAAAATTAAAAATGGAACTGCCATTTGGCCCAGTGATCCCACTTCTGGAAATATATCCTAAGAAGCCCAACACACCAATCAGAATATATGCGCCCCTATGTTCACTGCAGCATTATTTACCACTGCCAACCTGTGGAAACGGCCCAAGTGATAAAAAACAAAACAAAAACTGTGGTACATTTACACATTGAAGACTACGCTGCGGTAAAAAAAAAAAAAAAAAGAAGGAACTCCTACCCTTTGCAACAGCATGGAGGGGCCTGGAGAGCATCATGCTAAGCAAAATAAGCCAGGCCGAGAAAGATAAATACCGTATGATCTCACTCATATGTAGAATCTAATGAACAAAATAAACTGACGAACAAAACAGAACCAGAGGCATGGATACATGGAGCAGACTAACAGAGGTCAGAGGAAGGAGGTGGTGAGGAGGTGGATAAAAGAAGGGGAAGGAATTAGCTAAAGAATATATATGTATGGCCCATGGACACAGGCAATAGTGTAGCGAAGGTAGGGGCAGGGGTGCTAGGGAAGGGGAGAAAACTGGGGGACATCTATGATGGTGTGAACAATTAAAAAAACACACACACACAAAACGAGCTGAGTGATGGGAATCATTCCGGTCAGGATAGGGGAAAGGTGACTGTCTCAACAGTGGACACTGCAGTAGAGCATCTCGGGACGCCTCCCTCTGCATGGCCTGTGGTAACGAGGGCTGGAGACACCACCCTTTCTTTCTCCTCTGTATCTAGACCTTATCTCCCTGTTGAGCAAGCTTGTCATCACTACTTGAATAGCAGATGCGCTTCACAACAGTAACTTGTCACAGTCTGATAACTGCCTTCCACCCGCAGATCGGCCACTCCTTCCACCAACCTCCCACGTACCAAGTAAGAAATGATGGAGGCGCCCACGTGCTTCCCCTCTCTCACCCCCCAACGCTAAGCAATGAAGCTCAACCTCCTTGGAAGCCTCCCCTCTACCGTCCCCGCCTCTGCCCGAGTTCAGGCCTTCGTTGGGGACTCGGATTTCTGCAGTTGCCTTGTTGTACTGGTTGAAGATGATTTCACATCCACTTGCTTATGAATTAAATGATGTTCTTCTAATCCACTTGTTTATGACCTCCCCCCCCCAAAAAAAAAAAAAGTTATTTGATATAAGAATAAAGTAAGTCCTGCCAGGATGCCATCATTCGACATCTGTTGTCACTGATAAGCAACCAGCTACCAAGGGGCCCCTTCTTATCAATGAGAACACGTGGAGAAGCAGCTATGGGCCAAGGGGACAGTTAGACTACAAAGATGCAGAGTCTGCAAGGCCTGTTTGAGAGGGGCCTTCCCTCCTGTCCTGGGGAGGCACGCCTCCTAGCCAGCGGTGACAGGCTGCGGCCCTGGGAAAGAGATCAGCTCGCCCTTCCACACTGGCATCTTCATTCCCCAGCAAAACGCTCCAGCAACTGGAGACGTTTACTCCGCGCCGGCAGCTGGAGATCTGGAAATGAGTCAGTTGGTCACTGACTCTCCCAAGTGACTCCCTGGACTTTATTCCTTCATCCTTCACCCTCCACCCCAACCCCCCACTTGCCTGGAACAACGGTCTGATTAATGTGTCATTTGTTTGGAGTCCGCTATTTATTTGGCTTATGAAAAGATATTACCCTACATGCTACTGGCCTGTGAAATTATTATAATTCCCACAGCAAACCTGTGCTAAACGAATGGCTGGCAAACAAAGTCAACTCAGTTTCTGGCCATGACACTTAGGCTGTCTCCCCACAACAAAAACTAAACATGCTTCTCCTACAATCCACTACCCACATGCCCATCCTGGGAATCTTTCAAAACTGCAAATCTATCAAGTATTCGTGGGAATAGAATTCTATATACCAATCGCCTCAGGATAAAACCCAACGCGTAGCAGAACAAGGCTTCATGTCTCATTCTCCCCACCCCCCTTTCACAGGCAACGTTACAAGCAAGTGGTCATTCTGGGAACTCACTATGCTTGTGTCAGAGAGCACCTGCTCTTCCCCCATCCACCCCTCCCCATTCTCTTGGAACTCTTCCACTGCGGCCTCCTGGGGAGCTCAGTCCAGCATTCCTTCCCTCCGGAGAAAATGCTCTCGCCCTTTGCCCTTAACACCTGTGCATATGCAAGCATAATACTATCATCCTCGTGAGGTTGTGTGGCTCAAAAATAGGCTGTGGATTTCTGGATATCAGGACCATGGTTTTTGTTTGAGTGTGCTGGGATCACAACACCGCATGGCACCTAGCAGGCAATCAATGAGTATTTATTAACTGATCGAATGACAAAATCATCCCCAAATCAACTTCAGCAGAGAGGAGGGTTTGGGCAGAGGAAGGTCTCCATGTGGACTTACAGGAAAGCGCGGGGAGTGTTGAGAATGTCAACTGAAAAAGTCCTGAAGGCAGAGGCTCACCCACCCTTCCAAATGGGCCAGGAGGGAGGCCTAGGGGTGCAAGCAACATAAAAAGGCGAGTCTCCTGCTAGTCCCAGGCTCTGATGTTAATCAGCTTATATCCCAGTATGGTCCACTCATCAGCCTGTCCTGTGTCTCAAACGCAGAGCCTGAGCTGGCCACAGCACTCAGGGGCTCTAGGCAGGGGAGGGAGGGCAGGAAACAACATTCCTGAGGGCCCCAGACTTTTCAACAGGCTGTTCTGACCAATAAGGATCCTTGTTTTGTCGGTCATGGGTGGAACCTGGCAACACGGCAGTTGACTCATTCTAATTCCAAGGCTGTTTGATTGTCCATGATCCTCCTTCACTGATGGAAGGGAGAGACGGGGACAGTACACCAAGAGGTGTTCCTGAAACCCTACCTGTGAGGGAGAGGATCAGACCAGCAGGCTAAGGTAGAATAATGCTCTATGCCTCTGAAGGGTTCCCTGGGAAGGTTCAGTTCCCTGGGTTCTTTCTGAAAGTCAGTGGAAACAGTGGATTTCCACTGAGCCCACGTGTGCTGAAGGGTTTACTCTATGCCTTATAGTTCAGAATCTCTCACTGATGACCTAGGAAGTAGCCAATGGGAGAAAGGAAGTTCAAGTGTGCTGCTCAGAGAATAAGTCTATTGTCTCCTTCAATAGACAGCCCCTTCAATTCCACTTCCCTCGGTCTGATGCTCCTCATTCTCCCTGATGAGGCGAATGCTTTACAATGATTTTAAATGTTAAGTTGATATTAGAAAGTGCTCAAAACAATA